CCTCAACCAAGCACAACCTAACTAAACGTGCGCACATTATTATTCATTCGATCATGGTGAAGCTGCTACATACTCAACATCCGTGTGTGCGTGGTGGTGGTTCGATCTGTGTACACGTGTGGCCTCACTTCCTTGCTGCCTATATAACCGAGTGTCCGAGTTGCACCGCAAGCCAGTGAAGTATCTAGAGACACTTAGAGAGCAAGATACACTGCACGACACATACCCTGATCTTACTTGGCACGGCTAGCCATGGCGGATGCTGTCGTCTTGCTTCTGTTCCTTGTGCTCAGCCACAGCTTGTCCTGTTCTTCTTCTCCTACTACTAGTGTCCCTGTCGTCCGTGCAGCAGTAGACGACGCGGAACACGAGTACACCTTTGTGGCGATCAGCTCGCTGAAGCCCAAAGCTGCTTGCACCGGACACAGGGGTACGTGCACGATCCCATCGAAAACACGCACGCACAGCTGAAAAAATTGATCTGAAGCTAGTGATACTACTGAACGAACTGAATGATGTTGGTTGTTGCAGTGTCTCCACCTCATGGTCACCAGAACGCCACGTGGCTGCGATTGAGTCTCTCCCATGGCCCCTGCTCGCCGCCGTCGTCGCACCGCCGCAAGGGGCCGTCATTGGCCGAGCTGCTACGGCAGGACGAGCTCCGCGTGCAAAACATCCAGATGACGCTGCTATCTGCTGGTGATGACGACAATGCCGCAGACGATGAGAAGGTCAAGAAGCGCCCGGCGAAAAGCACCACAACTGCTATGGAACACGGGCCCGTAGTCGACGTCAACGTCGGCTCAGCAAGTAGCATTTCCACGGTACTACGAACGAAACTATTTTTTTCTTTGTCACCAAGATTATTCAGTTTTCTTTTCTGTCTAATTATTAAGTAAGCGCGCGATCGATCGATCCATCTCCTTTTTCCTGCAGTCTAGGATTGATACGATGGCCACCGGCGGCGGCGGCAGGAGGAGGCGGAGCATGCCGGGGACGGTGCAGACGATGATGGTGGACACCGCCAGCGACGTGCCGTGGGTGCAATGCCACCCGCCGCCGACGGGCGGCAGCAGATTCTTCGACCCAACCAGGTCGCCCACCTACGCCCCCTTCCCGTGCGGCTCGCCGGCGTGCGCGCGTCTCGGCCCCTACGGCAACGGCTGCATCAACGGACAGTGCCAGTACCGCGTCACCTACCCCGACGGGTCGTCGACGCTGGGCACGTACAGCTCCGACCTGCTCACCATCACCCGCACCACCGCCGTCCGCAGCTTCCAGTTCGGCTGCAGCCAGGCCGAACAAGGCCTGAGCCAGGCCAGCACCAGCTCATCCGGGACCATGTCGCTCGGCGGCGGCCCGGAGTCGCTGGTGTCCCAGACGGCGGCCACCCACGGCAACGCCTTCTCGTACTGCGTCCCGCCGACGCCCAGCGACGCCGGGTTCTTCGTCCTCGGCAAGCCGCCGTCTTCCAGGACGAGGACGTTCGTGGCGACGCCGATGCTGAGGTTCACCCAGGCGCCCACGCTGTACCGGGTCCTCCTCCGCGGCATCACAGTCGCGGGCAGCGGCTCAACGTGCCGGCGACAGTCTTCGCCGCCGGCTCCGTGATGGACTCCCGCACGGCCATCACGCGCCTGCCGCCGACGGCGTACCAGGCGCTGCGCGCCGCGTTCCGGAGCAGGATGGGCGCATACCGCCTGGCGCCGCCTAAAGGGAGCCTCGACACCTGCTACGACTTCACCGGCGTCATGGTCGTCAGGGTGCCGAGGGTCGCGCTGGTGTTCGACCGGAACGCCGCCGTGGAGCTGGACGCCTCGGGGATCCTGCTCGACGACTGCCTCGCCTTCGCGCCCAACGGCGACGACCGCGCTCCGGGGATCATCGGCAACGTGCAGCAGCAGACCATCGAGGTGCTCTACGACGTCGGCGGCCGGTCCGTGGGCTTCCGCCGCGGCGCGTGCTGATCGAGCTCAGCTACGTGCTGCAGTGCGGCCGGGCAGGCTGCCGGAGGCGTACCGTGCATGTCCCGCTAGCTTTGTGCTACCAATAACTACCGATTTGGCATTCGGCATTATATTTCAGAATGTATTTGCTACTGGTTTATGTATTTTACGTTGGATAAATTCTATGTATGATACCTTGTTTAGTTCAATTACACTACCGGAAATAGTATAATTACCGAGTGCATGAGAGTTTATCAAGTGTATTTTATTGGGCACTCGGCAAACATACTCTTTACCAAGTGTTTTCAATTAAACACTCGACAAATATATAGCACTTGGCAAAACCCAACTTTGCCGAGTGTCTAATAAAAAACACTTAGCAAATATAGACACTCGGCAAAGTAGAGGCACGTGCGCTGGGCGTGCGGCGGCCATGTGACGGTCGTGTTTGGTGCGCCGCCCTGCCATTATAACTTCGGCAAAGTAGAGGCACGTGCGCTGGGCGTGCGGCGGCCATGTGACGGTCGTGTTTGGTGCGCCGCCCTGCCATTATAACTTTACCGAGTGTCCGTTAGAGACACTCACAACAACAACAAAGCCTTTAAGCCCCAAACAAGTTAGGGTAGGCTAGAGTTGAAACCCAGCAGAAACAATTAAGGTTCAGGCACGTGAATAGCTGTCTTCCAAGCACTCCTATCTAAGGCTAAGTCTTTGAGTATATTCCATCCTTTCAAGTCTCATTTTATTGGCTCTACCCAAGTCAACTTCGGTCTTCCTCTGCCTCGCTTCACATTACTATCCTGGCTTAGGATTCCACTACGCACCGGTGCCTCTGGAGGTCTCCGTTGGACATATCCAAACCATCTCAATCGGTGTTGGACAAGCTTCTCTTCAATTGGTGCTACCCCTAATCTATCACGTATATTATCGTTCCGAACTCGATCCCTTCTTGTATGACCGCAAATCCAATGCAACATACGCATTTCCGCGACACTTATCTGTTGAACATGTCGTCTTTTCGTAGGCCAATATTCTGCACCATACAACATAGCAGGTCTAATCGCCGTCCTATAAAACTTGCCTTTTAGCTTTTGTGGTACCCTTTTGTCACATAGGACACCAGATGCTTGCCGCCATTCCATCCACCCTGCTTTGATTCTATGGCTAACATCTTCATCAATATCCCCGTCTCTCTGTAGCATTGATCTTAAATATCGAAAGGTATCCTTCCTAGGCACTACTTGACCTTCCAAACTAATATCTTCCTCCTCCCGAATATTAGTGCCGAAGTCACATCTCATATACTCAGTTTTAGTTCTACTGAGTCTAAAACCTTTGGACTCCAAAGTCTCCCGCCATAACTTCAGTTTCTGATTCACTCCTGTTCGGCTTTTATCAACTAGCACTACATTATCCGTGAAAAGCATACACCAAAGGATATCCCCTTGTATGTCCCTTGTGACCCCATCCATTTCTAAGGCAAACAAATAAGGGCTCAAAGCTGACCCTTGATGTAGTCCTATCCTAATCGAGAAGTCATCCATGTCTCCATCACTTGTTCAAACTCTAGTCACAACACAGTTGTACATATCCTTAATGAGCCCGACGTACTTCGTTAGGACTTTATGTTTGTCCAAAGCCTACCACATAACATTCCTTGGTATTTTATTATAAGCCTTCTCCAAGTCAATAAAAACCATGTGTAGGTCCTTCTTCTTCTCCCTATACCGCTCCATAACTTGTCTTATTAAGAAAATGGCTTCTATGGTTTACCTTCCGGGCATGAAACCAAATTGGTTCATAGAGACCCGCGTTATTGCTCTCAAGCGATGCTCGATAATTCTCTCCCATAGCTTCATAGTATGACTCATCAACTTAATTCCCTGGTAATTAGTACAACTTTGAATATCCCCTTTGTTCTTGTAGATCGGTACCAATATACTTCTCCTCCACTCATCAGGCATCTTGTTCGATCGAAAAATATGGTTGAACAGCTTGGTTAGCCATACTATAGCTATGTCCCCGAAGCATCTCCATACCTCGATTGGGATACCATCCGGTCCCATTGCCTTACCTCATTTCATCCTTTTCAATGTCTCTCTGACATCAGATTCTTGGATTCTCCGCACAAAGCGCCTATTGGTGTCATCAAAAGAGTCATCTAACTGAAAGGTTGTGTCCGTATTCTCACCATTGAACAATTTGTCAAAATACTCTTGCCATCGATGTCGGATCTCATCCTCCTTCACCAAGAGATGCTCCCTTTCATCCTTAATGCACATAACTTGGTTGAAGTCCCTTGTTTTTCTCTCACGAACCCTAACCATCCTATAAATGTCCTTCTCTCCTTCCTTCGTACTCAAACGTTGGTAAAGATCCTCGTACGCTCTACCCTTTGCCACACTTATAGCTCGCTTTGCAGTCTTCTTTGCCACCTTGTACTTCTCGATGTTGTCCACACTCCTGTCATGGTACAAGCGTCTATAGCACTCTTTCTTCTCTTTAATAGCCCTTTGGACTTCCTCGTTCCATCACCACGTATCTTTAGCCTCGTCTCCACTTCCTTTGGTTACTCCACACACCTCTGAGGCCACCTTCTGAATGTTGGTTGCCATCTTCTTCCACATGTTGTTTATGTTCTCTTCTTCCTTCCAAGAGCCCTCTTTGATAACCCTTTCCTTAAATACCTCTGATGTCTTCCCTTTCAGTTTCCACCATTTTGTTCTTTCAATCTTAGCTTGTTTATCCCTACGGGCACGCACCTGAAAACGAAAGTCTGCCACCAAAAGCTTATGTTGAGAAACAACACACTCTCCTGGTATCACCTTGCAACCCAAGCATGCTCGTTTGTCCTTTCTTCTTGTGAGGACAAATTCAATCTGGCTAGAGTGTTGTCCGCTACTGAAGGTCACTAGATGAGATTCTCTCTCTCTAAAGAAAGTGTTGGCTATCATCAGGTCAAAAGCTACCGCGAATTCTAGAACTTCCTCTCCCTCCTGATTCCTAGTACCATACCCAAAACCTCCATGAACTGCCTCGAAACCTGCGCTTGTAGTACCTACATGCCCATTAAGATCTTCCCATATAAAAAGCTTCTCACTACTGGGTACAACTCTAATGAGGCTATCTAAGTCTTTCTAGAACTGTCTCTTAGCACTCTCGTCGAGGCCTACTTGGGGGGCATACACACTAATTACGTTCAAGACCATATCACCAATGACAAGCTTGACTAAGATAATCCTATCTCCTTGCCTTCTCACTCCCACCACACTATTCTTGAGGCTCTTATCAATCAAAACTCCTACTCCATTTCTATTCGCAACTGTCCCTGTGTACCAAAGCTTGAAACCTGTATTGTCCACCTCCTTCGCCTTCTGACCCTTCCATTTAGTCTCTTAAATGCATAATATATTTACACGCCTCCTAGTCATGGTATCAACTAATTCTCTTAACTTACCTGTAATCGACCCTACATTCCAACTGCCTAAACGAATCCTAGTTGGTTCGACTAGCTTCCTTACCCTTCGCACCCGTCGAATCAGATGTGAAGACCCTTACTCATTTTTCACTACACCCAGGCGCCGATGTAGCGTGCCACTAAGGATGCGACGACCGATCCTTGATCACTTGACACTGCGGCTTCGGGATCGCGACACGGCGTGTCACGGGTGACGACCGCCCTTGCTCATTTAACACCATACCCGGGTTCCGATATGGCGCGTCGCTAAGAGGGTTACGCCCATCATTAGAGACACTTTCGCAAACCGATATTTTTGCCGAGTGTTTTTGTTTGACACTTGATAAAACAATGTATTTCTTTGAGTGTTTTTATGGGCACTTTCGGCAAAATAATATTTTGTTTCTCTCCAGCTCTCCAAACTTTTTCTACTCTCCACATACAACATGTGGTACTACATGTTAAAATTTGGCATATTTCTCAATCTGTTTGCTATATTTAATTAATTAATTGCATTTAGAGGTATTTTTTGGTTTAAGTCAAATTTGAACTGCAAGTGATTTAAATAATGGAATAAATTAAGTGGAGAAATCATATTCATGTTATTAAGTCTATTTTGGGGCCTTACTCGGGAAATGAAAAGAATTTTCAAATATTTTGTTCTCACGACCACGAATGTGTGGCCGAATGGTTTTTAAATTCTACAAAAGCAAACGAAGTCTGAAAATCACGAGATTTATCAAAATTTCATGATATCATACATGGAGACTGGAAAAAAATTGAAAAGGTTTTGCATAATTTGTCACGTACGACCTTATAAACCGAAGCATCTCTGAAAAAGATCGTAGTGTTGAGAAGGATCCGGTAAGATTTGGAGTTAAAGTGACGGTCCAATTGGGGTTTGACTTCAAAAGTTTTTGTATAGGCAATAGACAACATAGATTGGTTCACGTCAATTTTTGGTAATTTTTTGGATCCGTTTGATAATTTTAATTTATTAACTGTAATTATAGAATTTTAATTGATATAAATTAAATTTGAGCTATAACTGCATGAAATAATGGATTAATATTCCTAGAAAAATTAAATATGCATTGTTGAGTGAATTTGACAAGGTATTTTTAAATTACATCGTAACAAATTTAGTAGGACACGCTATGAAGATGGAGGGCGGTGGAGCATGAAATATAAACTTTTTTTGTCGAGTGTTTTATACCTGACGCTCGGTGAAAATAATATTTGCCGAGTGTCATATAGGGGACACTCGACAACTTCGTCGACCCGGCCCCACTGCATAGTATCGGGCCGTAATAAAAATAAAAAAAACAATGCCGAGTGCCCCGGATCTTGGCACTCGGCATACTCCTTCATATGCCCCCAGCGGCCCGCACCCCCGGTCCTCACTCTCGCGCACACAATACGCCGCACCGCACGCCGCCCCGACGCCTCCCCGCTCCACCACGCCCTGCCCCCGGTGCCGCCCGCCCCTCTCCTCTCCTCTCCTCTCCTCCAACGAGACAAGGAAGAAGACAAGCTAGGGAAAGGCCCCAAGGCAAACACAACC